ATTTAATTTTTTTAAGGTGTGAAACTAAATGCGAAATTACACAAAATGTCACATTTTTTTTTTTTATATCTAAACCAATTCCATGATTATGATAATTTCAATTTTATCAATTTAAATTGTACATTTTCAATTTTGTTCTAATGTAATCCCTTTATTAGTTACAGTTAACATTTTGGATGAAAAAACAACACGTGCGAAATTAGAAGGACCAAAGTGAAATTTGAAAGAAACTATAGGGACCACGGGTATAATTTATTTATTTTTTTATTCGACAAGATGGGTTGAAATTCTCACGTAAGTTACACGTGACTTTTTTTAGTCCAAAATTTTAACAGAAATTGACATAGAGACCACGTGAAAACGTAATTGAAAGTATGGGGTTTAAATTAATGAATTTGGAACTATGGGGATCAAAATAAAATTTCGCTAAAATTAGAGTGACCAACAATATAATTTTTTCTTCAAAATATTAAGAGCTAGAATTTGAGTAATCATATTTTAGAAAAATAAGGTCTGGACATATTTAACTTGGAAAGTAGCATGGTACATCATATCCTAGTTGTCTTCATTTATTATTTCTCAATTACTCATTATATTGTAGCCTAAAACAATTATAGCATTTTCATAAAATTCATGTATTAATTAATTTTGGATATTAGTCAAGAATACCATTCTTTGGGGAGGATTAATTTCAAGTGTTTTTTCATCTACTTCTATACGTGTATAAAAAGTGCAAAATATGATATTAGGGCATGCCAAAAAAAAAGACTTATGTTGTGCTTGGTTGGGAGATTTGAGGAGAGATTTGAAAAGAAAAATAGAAAAGGTAGGTGAAATATGAATAAAACATACCTATATTTACCTAGTTTCACACACCTTTTTCATTTTTTTTTTTAAATCCCTCCACAAATCCTCCAACCAAACACAGTATTATGGAATTACATGTGCCTCCGTTGTGCAAATAATGTGCAAAGAGTTCTCACTCAATTCCAATTTATTTCTCCAACTTTCTTCGTGTCGGCAACAAAAACTAGAACTAATATATAGAATTTACAAAAAATAAAAAATAAATTTGTTTTTGCAATTGATTTTATTTAATTCTTGCAAAGCTTACTCTTCTTAATGTGAAGCTATCCCAACTAATTTGTACATACTACACACCAACATATTTAAAAAACAAGATTATCAAATTTAATGTCTAGATTTACTTTGCCAGAGTGAAGGAAAAAAAATACGTGACCAATTTCATTTGAATCATTTTATTAAACTTAATCCACCTTTGCATTACCACCAGTTTTTTCTGCATATCATCTTGGCTTTCACATATTTTAATTCCACAAACAAACCATTTCAACATAGATTTTTTTTTAAAAAGAAACAAGAAGAAGAAGAAGATAATTAAAAGCAAAACAACTTCCCATTAAGAGATTACTATTTATCTTACATTACATGCATAGTTCAAACTAGATACACACAAATAACAAATCAAAAATCAAAATAAAAAATCACAATCATAAACAGACACATAAGACTAGAAAATAAAAGGTAAAATGACAAAAACTCTAAGAAAGGTTTTTACAAGCAGATGATTTTTCTTCTGATGGCCATCACTCGTCACTTCTTGAACTTCTTCTTCATATCAGTCTTTCCATCACCCCCTCCTTCATTCTCTCCATCTCCATTCCCACGTCCAACCTATATATTTTTTTTTTTTTATATTTATTTATCAACAAAAAAAAAAAAAAAAAAAATTGATGTAAATCAAAATGCAAAAACAAATCACTAAAACGTACATCAATAAAAATAAAAATGAAAAAAAAAAAAAGTGCAACTAGGTTTAGGCTTACCTGCATGAAGTAATGGAAGTCATTCTCGGTGGCTAGAGTGAGGTTGAGAGAGGGTAGCTGTGGTGGTGGTGGACCAGGGGGAGCGAGCGTGAGCGCGAGTGGATCGGGGAGAAGATTCAGTGGCTTGGGCTGCACCGAAGGTCCTGCACCTCCACTCGTTCCAGCATTCTTGTTTCCCATGTCAATCTGTGGCTTGTGACTTCTCTCTCTCCAGCAAAATGGTTCAATCCTGAGGTGCTTCACAAATTCTTCTTGATTTCGAAACAAGCTGTTGCAACCGGAGCAGCGAATGATCTCTCTCGTTGGCCTTTTTCTGTGTCTTCTATCCTCATTTTCACCATCAGAGGTAGAGCCATATCCTTCTCTAGTGTCATAGGATGTGTACCCTCCTTTTCTCATTTTTAAGATAGATAGAGAGATTGAGGGAGAGATGGAGGTGGAGATGGAGATGGAGATGGAGATGGAGATTTTCTTTCTCTCTAACTTTGTCGAGAGAGAGAGAGAGTGATGGAGATTTTCTTTCTCTCTTGACTTTGGCTCAAGCATGCAAGTTACATCTCTTTATATAGGAGAAATGGAGACAAATAGGTGGGCATGGAAGGGCAGTAATGGTACTTTGAGGGGGTTTGGCATTGGCTGCTTTAAGGAATTTTTATTTTCACACCCCCACGTTATCTTAGTTAATACTTATTTTTTGGTTCAAAAATTGATTTTTGAACCAAAAAAAATGTGCACACTAAGTAACAATAATATGAAAAAATTGAAACTCCACTTGTTTTAGTGGTTTATGTGTTTTTTCAGAAAATTAAAAAAGACATACTTAAAAATTTGCTTTTTCTTTTTTTGTTAGATGAAAATTTAAATTTTTTTGAATTAATTTTTTGGCTCTTCCCAATCCGTGTTATGTTTTTAGACTTATTCAATTCAAAAAATATATATTTTTTGAATTGATCCCAAACAGTGTCCAAGGGTATGACGAGGTGGCTAACAGCAATGCAAATCATGGTGGGTTCTACACACATAAATGATACTTAGGAGTACTTAATGTGGGTAGTAATTGCTAACCCAATAGTTAAACCAGAAAAGAGGATCCTTACTTGTCACGGGCCTGAAAAGAAAAATGTTAGACATCATAAAAATGCTTCATGAAAATGGTCATGAACAAATTTTTATCCTTATATTACACTTTGTAATTTATTGTATATCTGATTTAAGAGTCAAAAATATTTTATGATCATTTTCATAAAATATTTTTCATGATACCTAACATTGTTCGCCTAAAAATGACTAAGGTGATATACTCTAGGATAAAATGGGGGGAAATTCAAATTGAAAATATTTTTCAATTTGAAAAATTCAAAAAATTAGAATTAAAATGGCCACAAAACATACCCCAAAAAAATGTATTTTTACAAATATTTATTTGAAAATTATTTTCACACCATAAAACCGATTTGAAGAACAAAAAACCAAGCATTTTGTGTCAATTAAATAATTGAGTTGGGTGAAAATGAAGGGGAAAAAAAGAAGAAGATCCATATTTTATCGGACAAATGCTTTACATGTATCAAAATTGCTATTAATGACAACCCTAATGTGTAGACATTGTCGCCGAAGATGCAATGATTGTTGAGCAATGGCAGTACCACTGCAATCTTTGTTGACATTTATAAAGTATCCGACGTAAAGAGACAAGTATGCTAAATATTGTTGTAGCGCCGTCATTTTGATGACATTGATAATTTATCCAACATAAAGAGATATAAAGATACAAGTATACTAAATATCAGTTTTGCACTACATTTTCTCTTACAATTTAACATTATATAACCGTTGAATTAAGTTAAATAACAGTTGAGATTAGTTTTATATTAATACAATCTGTCCCGTTTTAATGACATTTATAATTTATCTGACATAAAGAGACAAGTATATTAAATATCAGTGTTGCGCCGCATTTTTTTTTTTACACTTTGACATTATGTAACCGTCAAATAAAATTAAATGACAATTGAAATTAGTTTTACATGTGTATTACGTAAATGAATCGCGTACCATTACTAACAAAACATGCATTTACCCGTTAAGGACATTTGGATCATAGTTGATTATCAACACGCTACTAGTGGCTAATGCAAGATTAATTTTGTTGGGGCAAGCTAGGGCCACAACTCCAGCAAATTCAATTAGGTTGGAGATCTAGGAGTTGCTTGGAATGTTCTAAATAAGTGTATTTTTTGACTTTTTATAAAATATGCGTTGAATTTGAAGTGATGTGTTAGAGAAGTGATGTGATTTAAATAAAATGATATGACTTAAATAAATAATGACTTTTTAACTTTTTTAAAAGATGACAAACAAGACCCTAACCAAAGCCACCCTAAAGTTTATCATCATTTGTCAGGCCCACCTAACTCGAGTTAAAGCTCAAGCTATTTCAACCCAAGCTTAGTCAGAGCACAATTTAATGAGATGGAATTTAGGCTCGATACATTATTCAAGTAGTAATGATAAAAACCACAAAACATAACTTTCATAACTCTTAAAATAATCTAAATCATTCATGTCACTGTTAGAGATAGAAAAAAAAAAATTCAAATACAGTAATGGTCAATACATTAGTGGGATCGTGAAAATCCTCCTTTGTGGAGATTCCAAACATTTTCTATTATCCAAGTTTAATGAATTTATTTTAGCCAGAAATGTACGTATTAATACATAATTAAAAAATAAAAATTTACATGACTAATACAAATTTAAAAAATGAAAATTTACATGATTTGTAACCTATTGCGTCAATAAAAAGCTTAACAAAATTGACTTTTTATAAATCATTAAATTGGTCTATTTGCGATGATAACAAGTGAAGCAATTACCGAAGCCCAAAACTAATTTTCCAAAAGAAACAAATTAATTCCTGAGGCAAAATGGACCCCTGCTGTTTGGGTAAATTGGCGTGCGCCCGCGCAAACAAAAGAAAAAAACAAAACAAAAAAAAAACAGAAATTTCAAAAACACGTATCTAATATCAGTTGAGCAGCGTTGCATCCATTATTGTAGCATATGAAACAGTACATTGTTGATTTACAAGAAAGCATTTATCAAATAAACTTTGAGAAATCTTTATCAGGAAACGTCAAGAAGGAACCATAATTGAAAAGGTCAAACACAGCACATACATAAAATAAGAATTGAAATCCTTTTTTAACTATACCAACCACATACTGTTATGCAACTAAAAATCTTCTATCCTTTTCTCTCAATCAAACAGGCTATTGTAAAGATTTCCACACAATATTCCTTTCACATTATAACCCAAAAAAAAAAACATATAAACAACAACAAGAAAAAGACATATTGTGCAAACAAGAACAATAACAACGAAAGCTTACATCACAAACATGCCAACGGCACATTACCATCTTCAACGGAGACCAGAAGAAAGGAAAAGCATGCATGGAGCTGATTCAGAAACCTAGCATCCAAATTGCTTGTCAACAAGTACCCGTCTGAGAAGGAACAACTGGCATACCCAATTACATGTTTTTGCAGCAGGACTCGAAAGTGCTGCTAGTTTCGACTCCATCATGGCAAGCATATTAGCATTCCAGAAAATTGTGCACATCAGAGGTACAAGACCAGGTTTCATATTTTCAATGATGCGGTCCACAGCAGCTGATGAATTTCATTCAAAGAGTATTTCCGGGAAAACATTTGTGTTTTCCTTTGATGCCCAAGCACAAGGAAGCATCACGAGCATTCTATAGAAAGCTGCAGAAACAAAACACGTTCATGAAAACTTGGTTTTCCGAGCAATAATCTACATAAAATAATAGTGATTGTGTAGTAGTATCACTAAATAAACATTATAAACAATCAAAACTAATTGTTACTCAAGGGAAAATTTAGTACATCAGTCGACTCCTATTAAGCCCTCATCCTAAGAAGCATAGACACTTCCAAGAAGGAAATGCGTCGTGTCTGATACGACATGACACCCATTAGACACTTCCTAACACTATGAAACACATTACAAGTTTAAATAAAATAAATTGTAATCCAACGCTAAAACAAAAACAATTTAAATTAGTACCTATTCTCTTCCTTTGGACTTTAAAATTTATTATCATTGACTTAAATATTTATATAGGTGGCATATAATAATTATTTATCCTTATATGTGACATATAATAAATATATAAAACTACAAATTTTCCACGTGTCGTGTCCTATATTTTTTGAAAATTTACTTGTTGGCGTGTCAGTCGTGCAAGTGTCGTGTTACATGTCCGTGCCTATGTTTCTTAGCCCTCATCCATACTCACCTTATTGAACTCAAAAGGGTGCCTCAAGTGATTCATCCCAGACTTCAGCACTTCCATTCGAGACATTGTCTTCTTCCATTGAAAGCCTGACATATTCTCTATGTGCAAACCGGTCCCATTCTGTCAAAGTTGGAGCCTCCCGCTCCTGCTTACCACAAAAATTGCAAACAGGTGGTCATAATGCCAGAGAAAAAAAACAACGTTGCATTTCCCAGTGTGGCCATGCAATATCAAAGAACACCAACTTGCTGAATATACCTGGCGAATGAGATATGGATCACGAGTTTCAAAAGCCATGAACTTGTTAAGATTGAAAAGAATATTTAAAACGTTTCCTGCAAGTTTGCACCCTTTCAAATCACGTAGTGTGACGAAACCTTCTTTCTGCAACCAAAATAGTGTCAATGATAGGCAAGAAATCTCTAACCAGTATATATGAAATAAGAGGTTGACAATTAAAGAATAACTTGTGACCTCAGGTTGAATCATGTCAACTATCTGACACAATATGTCCTCAAACAGTATAGGTTCTTGGGCCATGCATTCCATTCGGTGCAACTGTTCCTCATAAAAGAACTGCATTTCATTTGCTGTGATCACACCATTTCCGTCCAAATCTATGCACTTGAACCTAAAATATACAGACAGATCATATAATCAGTTGAGCAAATTGACAACACAACAAATAAATCTCATCCATTAAAATAAATAAATAAAAGGTTTGGCTTGTTCTAATGCCTGGCCCAAGTGCAGAACTCTAGGAAAGTGCCACAAAGCTTGGTCATGAATAACTTCCAAGGTCAAGGCCCAATGACTTGCCAGTAAGGCTGTAAATGAACCGAGCCATTCGTGAACAGGCACAAACTCGCCTCGGTAAGAGCTCGCTCAAACTTAGTTCGTTAAAATTTTTTTGCATTCAACCTTGAGCTCGAGCTCGTTAAAATTTTAATAGGCAAGCCCAAACATACAAAAGTTCGGCTCGTTAGTTAGCTCGTTTAACATTTAATATTTATATATTAAATAATGTAAAAACATGTAAAAAAAAATAAGATAAATATGTTAATTATATATTTAAAAACTATAAATGTAAATAATAGCTAACTATAGATAATACATTTATATAATAGTGATGGTAGATATTATTATTTTGGTAAAATATTAATTTTTTTTAGCATGTTTATATATATTTTATATATAAATGTATAAACAAAGTTTTAATTGTAACTTTAGCCTCATACGCAAATATGAATTTATAATTTTTTTGGCTCATTAAGACTCGTGAACAGGCTCGAGCTCGATTTAAGCCTAAGCCCACTCGGTTCGAGCTAAATTCATTAAATTTTTGTTGAGCTCGAGCTCGTTAAAATCTTAATAAACAAGCCCACACATACTTTCGCCAAGTTTGGCATCCTCCAAAAAATCCAAAAAGTCAAAAAGTCACTATCCTATTTAAGTCACATCATCTTATTTAAGTCACATCACCTCTCTAACACATCATTTCAAACTCAACCCAAATCCAACCCATATTTCATAAAAAGTCAAAAAGTGCACTTATTTAGTCTTCCCAAACTTGGCCTTAGGCTCAGCTCGGCTCAACTTGTTTGCAACCCTACTTGCCAGGGCCTACACATGCCTGAAACTCTACTCTTCCAATCTCTTGTTCATGCTTCCAATAGATCATAAGGAAATCAATAAAAATAAAATAAAAGCTGAAAATGACCCATTTTCCACTGTGGGTTCAGCAGCAATGCAAGAGTTGTAGCTCCGCTTACTCAGTGAGCCATGACAAAATTTAATTCTTTAAAAGAAACTAGTTCCTGCCATATTACATACAGCATTTCTCAGTGATGTTTGAGTCCTCTCTCTCTTTCCAATCTCCCCCAATTAGTTTTCCCCAACCAACTAGATTATCGATTACTTGGATGAGAATCAATAAATGTAAATTTACTCCTATCATCAACAAACTTTAGAAGCAAAATATCTAACATTCTCACAATCACTGCCTTTCGAGGATGGCGAACAGAAGCCATTACAAAATTGTTTCAATGCCATTCTACAGGCTTAGGGTGATGGAGATAAAGAATTGATGGAACCCATGCCAAATGCAAGAAAGAAGTAACTGTTACTCGTACCGAGAATTATACAATACAACTATATCACAATAAAACCTTAGTTTTAAACTGAAGAGAGCAGTTTGAAGTAAAACAAAATTGTTCCATTAAAGAATATATTTTCGTATGAACATTTGCCAAAAATTGTAAGGAGAACATACCAATACTCAAGACTAGGCTCAGATGATTTATCCTCCTCTGCCAGCATGAAGTAAACAAAATCTTCATAACCCATCTTTCCTTCAATATTGCTAGTAAACTTCCTGGGGACCTGAAGAGATAAAAAGCAGAAAAACAACGTTGCATAAGAGTTTAGTGCCAGATGTTCACTCTGCTCCAAAACCAGTTGGTTTAATTTATGATTTTTCAAGCATCTAGTATCAAGAAATGAAAACGAACCTGTGAAAATATCCTATCAACGATTCTGTAAGTAAGAGCATGATTACCATATCTGATAAGGTTCTCCTTGTCGATTAAGAAATCATGGTCTGTATCCAGTTCCCAAAACTTGCAGTATATAACATAGAAGTGTTCATAAGAAAAGTACCTGAATGAAAAGAAAAAACATGGTCCATAATTTATATCCATTAACAATTGGCCCAACTATTGAAAAACAAATATGAATCCATTTCCCATGTTACTAATAGTGGTTATCAACAAAAACTTCTAACTCTATTTTTAAATGATATAATCTAGATGTAGTCAATTTTATGCAACATATAAAGAAACGACCATCTCCTTGGCCAGGATGAGCTTGCAGCCTAATGATGCCCTTGTCTTAAAATTCCAGGAGTTCAATCATATAACCTGAGTTTGGGTCATCTAACTAAAAAACTTAAACATAATAGCTGAGGTACAAACAAACTCGCCAGGTTTGACTACCTTTTAAGCTGGTCTGACAGTGCCTCCAAAAGGAAATCAATATTTTCAAAGAACAATGAAACAAAAAACAGAACTAATTTTGCCATTGTATTTTTCCAATTACCTTCATATCTACTATAAACATTGCCAATGTGGCAATCCCCCAATCCAATCCCCCTCCTCTCTCCTTGTGCAGCCACACAACCGCGTGTCGCTGTATCTCTCTAAAGCAAGGTGATGTCTCTCCACCAATGATCTCTTCATTTTGGGGGAAAAAAGAAGGCAGCAGCATCTGGCTTGATAGTTTAAATTTTTTTTTATTTATTTAAAAAATAGAGGCTGACACATGGAATAGGCTGAGACGTTGCTACTTTGTAGGATGACTCTCCTTTGCTAGCAAGTATAGCTTCTAGTTTAGGTACAATAATGCAATCTAAAGTTGTTATGGATTCTCAAATCCAGATGGCAAAACTATGTAGGATGAATGCGGAACACCCTCCTACTAGATAGTGAGCCAAAAACATAATATATACCATTGGAAAAAGTATATTCTAGAAGTTGATTTAAACCAGTTATATAAGTTGGTAAAATATAGCTTTGTTTAAAGTTTCTGTGGGCGTACCCCTTGCTGAATTGTGTTATACTGCCAGGATTGAATGTTCAAGAGAGTAAAGGAGTTTGTTTGAGGTATCATCAATCCCGAAAATCTAGGTATCAGACAGAGATTCTACAGGCATCATCATATTCCATCACACAATCCCGAACAAGTTTCATAAGTTATGAAACTTCTCTAAATCTGAATTAAAAGAAATATATTGGTATTTGTAAACTTTGGAGACTCTTGCTCCAGCTAGTACTTGTATTCCTAAATAGCTACTTGACTTTCAGAAACTTCGACTTCTAAATCAATCTAAACCCAAATAATACAAAAGTTAGAAACCAATTACATAATATACAAGCTGGTGTAGATGTTATCAACTCGGTAAGGCAAAGAACAATGGGGCAACCCCTACAATCCATGTCTAGAAAATGCAAAATTACTTGAATAGCACTAACTTGTACAACTTATTGAAAGCATAACTAAAACTCTTAGCAACATAACATAACACTATATATTTACAAAAAAAGAAAAAAGAACAGTAACTACCACTAAATCTCAACTATAAAAGGTCCTAAATGGCTCCAACCAAGATTCTGAAAAGCAGTTGCGGTTGCCGTAACGGTGGCTGTGGTCCGGTTGCGGGGTATAAAGACTGTAGCGTAACAGTTGCGGTAACCGAAACCATGAATTTTTTTATTTTTCGCAAAATTTGAAAAAAATTTACCGATACGCATATTTTTTTTCCATGATTATATTCATTAAGTTTAAAATAAATATTGATCAATTTTTGTAAATCTTTAAGTATGATCCAATATATTTCATATTTTTAAATCACTATAAACTAAGTTTTTTACATTTTATTTTAATAATTAATGACTTTATATTGTACAAAAAATCAATCACTAACTGTTATACATAAGATAAACAATGACAAAAGTAAGAGAATAAATAAGAGCCTAAATATATATATATATTTTTTAACCAAGTCAAATAGATAATGACCACACTTATTATTATTATTATCAAATAATATATAGATAGACACACACAAACAAAATGGTTGAGTAATAGCAGCTGAATAGAATAGTATAGGTCTTACAGCTCTAACAAATCAATAACATGTTATTCATCTTCCCTCTTCTCTCTCTCTATCTCTTAATCCTCCATCTTCTCTCTTTATCTTCCCTCTTCTCACTATCCCTCTTCCCCCATTTTCAATTTTTTTTTTTTTTTAATGTTTTTTTTTAAAGAATCAGTTTGGAACCGTTACGTAACGGTGTGTAACAGGCCATTACGGCTGTTATGGCGCCGTTACGACCGTTATGGCAACCGCTACGGCCGACACACTCATGAATCTCAATCACTGCAAAAGTGGCTGTAACGGGTGGCGGTAACCACCACAACCGTTACGTAACGGTTGCGACCGCTTTTTAAAACCTTGCCTCCAACTTAAAACAAAACACTTTCTTTTTCTTTTTTATAATTATAAACCACCTTGTGATTTTTGCAGTCTCTTTATATTTATTTTTTCTCAAGCTCTTTAAGTCTCGTATCACCAATTTATTTGGCACCTTCAGTGAATTTACAAGTTTAGAACTCATATTGTCACTACTACAGTAGTTTGTAAGTCTAGGCTACAATCCCAGTGTGTTGTGTAGGTGAGGGGTCTGCCCATATTCAGCCCAAGCTGATACACTCTACTTATGCCCAACCGTCAACCTGAGCTAGCCAAGTCTGGGCCCAGCCCATGCTCAACTTTATGAGTTCAAATCGTGCTTGGGTCACTAGACTAGGTGAGGTTCAACTTGCTTAGGATGAGTTCCGAAGTTGATTAACATGGAAAATGCCTTTCTCTTTTTCAACCTCAACTTCTTTAAGCCCTATAGTATATGCATACAAATCTGTGTGAAATATGTGATAAGTAAAATATGATATGTATGTCCGTAATGTGATACATAAGTACAAAAATTTATTTTTATGCATGAAAATTCAGTACAGATCAGCTAAGCTTGCCCCAGCCTGCCTGGTGTCAGGTTGGGCTTGGGTTGGGCCAAGTCAAGCAGGCTTATTTTCAGTTCTATGCAAGGTCAAATTGTATATAATGCAAATCATGCAACATATTTCACAAGCACCCTTACCTCAGAACTTTATTGATGTCCTCTTCTTCATCTGCATGTTGCATTGCAGCAATCAGGTTTCCACGCTTCAGCTCCCTGAGGGTCAGTTGACCATTTCCAGTTCTATTCATGTAGTAAAATATTCTGTATATGACAGTTTCAGCTGGACCATTGGTCATGTTCAAAGCATATTAGTCAACAAATGGTGCATGTGCACTAACTATGTTTTGAATAAAAAGAAAATAAACTAGATAAAAATCTCCAAAATATCACTGATTCCCAAGTTTCCAAACATAAAACGTGATTTCATAACAACAGTTTATAGTTTTAGTTAAAAATAGACATAGCAAATACTGCAAAAATAGCAAATAAGCCTAATATCTTGCAACAAGTAAAGAAGTGGAAGCAACTATGTTCCCTGAACTGCGTCATTGATCTTACAACAAGCATCTGGCAAGATAGCCAAAATCCATCAAAGGAAACAACAGAATACGACAAGCGGTAGCCCATATTCTTGCCACCACGCCAACTATTTCCCTTGTCAAGAAAGCCATCCAAGATTTGACCCTGGTGGTGGAAAATTCTCGTTCAACCACTAGGGCGAAGTGACTAATTTTTAGATTTCCATTCACACAAACTCTTGGAGAGCCCTAATATTGAAGTTCCTAGACCAGGCCCACGAAAGGCTATACTATAGGAAGAAGCATCCTAGATACTTCTTCCTTATTTCTTAAGTACTTAATCCCATATTGCCCAAGTTCCCAACAAATTCCACTCACTAGGACATTCCAGGTGATCTAAAAAAATCATCCACAATGTGGTGTTTATAGGATCCTTGCAAAGCTACTCTTTACTATAAGCATCAAACCCTTCAATTATTATTGTTATTTTTAATTACACATTAAAGTCTCAAACTAACATTTCCATGGACTTTATTTGTTTGCACGAAGTTTAACTGCAAAACTAATAGAGTCTTCTTCCAAACCCACTGAAGGGTGTCCTCAATTAACTAAGGTTCACAGCAGGTCACTCCTTTACTACCTACTAGCCTCGTAAGAATCCGACATCTGTCGGGGAGGGTTGACCTGAGGTCGAAAGTGAGGGCAAACCACTCTTATATCTGATTGCCCAAGTTATGATCTACAAAACTTATCTCAAATAATTGGATTTAGGGATCCCAGTTTTGCATATAATTCTAACCAGTACCTAACTATAAACCAACCCATTGAAATGTCCAGGTCAGATATTGACCAATTCAACTAGCTGATCCAGGGTTGGTTTGGGGTGTCCTAAAAAAGTATACTTTTTGTCTTTTTACGAAAAGATGTACAGAAAAGTAGAGATGTGATGTGATGGAAAAAAGATAAAAAGATAAAAAGATGGATTATATAGGTTATGCCAAACGAGGCCTAGTTGAGGTTTCTATCAGTGGGTGAAACCAACTTTCTTACGCTGGTGAGCCAAGAGAAAAAAGGTGGAAGATTACTGGATGGACAGTGTTCAAGCAGTAAACCAAAAGGAATTCATCAACGGATAAGAGCATACCATATCTTTCTTGAAATTCCGATGTGTTCTGCAAAAACTCCAATCCTGGATGGGTAGCCAAAAGTTCTTGAAGAACAGGTTTGAAGTCAGCCTGTAAGGAAGATCAAAAGATGTGAACAATAAAACAGAAAGAAATCAAGAGACAAAGCCAATGGCTAACAACCAACTTCTAGGGACACATCATGGCATACAAACAACATAAAACGACCATCAAGAATACATAAATTTACCACTGATCCCATTGCAATTTGTGTTCGTCGTATGGACAAAGAAATAGTTCAGATAACACGTAACACAGTTAATTAAGAACCAGAGAACTAACCAAGGTAAGGTATTTACAGTCTTGTTGCTTAAGAATTTTGAATATTTGGGTGGCCATATCCATTGTCATCATGTTGCTATCAACCCAATATTTGATGAATGCATCCCTACAAAATTTTAATTAAAAAAAATTACTCAGCATATTAGCTATTAACAATTGTTTGGTAAGAGGATTCACAGAACAGCATCTGATAAGGAATTCATGGATCAGAGCAATGGTTAAGCAATCAAAAAATATCCTTCATTTTCATAACAGCAGCTACATGTCCAATGCTATGTTGTCTGGAATGTAGATCATTCCACTACATGAAATGAGAAAGACAATGTGCTAGTTCGTGAGCTCAAAACATAGATCAATAGTGGTCAGCTTACATAGATCAAAATAGTTGGCGGTTGAAGCATTTCTAACAGGAGAAAGTTTGTTCAAAAGTGGTGATTAATGAATGCATAATATGCCTAAATGCATAAGTTTGTCTCTACTGCCAAAAACTTCTTATTATCTAATCATGAAAAACATATAAGTTAATTAATCCATACAAGTTAAGCTTTGATGTGATATACTGATATGTCCCTTACCTTAAATTTTTTTTTTTTTTTTTTATCAGCAACAATGTCCCTTGCCTTAAATCTTTTACTATAAAACCCTATTTTATTCCATTCCAGTTTTTATTTTATTTTTTTCAAGTGTTATTTCCTGTAACAAACAAAGTCGGTGATGAAATCAGAAAATATTGTATGAATCAGCAAATTTAGCATTTTGGATCGAAGTGTACCATGTTCTAGGACATGAGTTCCAGAGCAGAGATTGTTGGGGCATTACCAACTACCCTCTAACCATGGTGTGGCACAATGGTCAAGAGTCAAGACCCTGCCTCCTCAACAAAACTCAGTCGAGAAAAATATTACGGAATGATATATAATCCATCAATGATAAATAATTACATAACATAAAAAAGAGAAAAGGGCCCAAGGAAATCAGTCATGTTTATTTCAAGCCAAAAGTTCTACACAGAAAAGAATTTTAAACATTAAAATCACCTATAAAGCAGCTAAATACCCCCCCCAAAAAACCCCCCCCCAAAAAAAAAAAACAGGAATTTTATAGAAATAAAATCTTTTCCAGAAAGGGAAGTAAAAATTTAGAGCAAGATTAACAAATCAAAAGTTCCTTACAGTAACCATGCATAACTAAACTGGCTTTAACAGGAATACAATTAACAATAAAATCCACAAAGAATCATATTTTCTAAAAAGAGCCAGCAACACTAAATTCTGTTTTGAAAGCATTTTCACAAGACACAAGAAAGTCTATCATCAGCATTTCGAAAAGTTCCGAAAACCCTAAAGTCTATCATCAGCAAGAACAAAAATAACTACTTTCAAATGGCCCTGGAAAACAGTTTTCTGAAAATGGCTGTATAGGAAATTCTTGGCAACGACTGCAAGTACTTGGATGATTATTTAATGAAAATAAAGGAAAATTGAGCTTCACAATCCATATGACCAAAAAAGAAAACGAAAAGTTCCACACTTGAGAAACGTATCTAAAACTTTGAGAACAAAACAAAGTATAGAGTGTAAAAGAAATTGTCTTCAAGAGATTAGGGATTATCATTACTTTGAAATCTTAGAATGTTGAAGTTCAATACTTTAAAATGTTGTACAAAGATATGATTCACAGCCACACAAAAAAAGGTGCATCAACAACAAAACATTACATCATAAATAAAAGAAGAAGTATAGCAGTATCCACCTGGTCATGGTTTCACTCTGGACTGCATATAATGAAACTCACTTCCATGTGAGCTCGACCCCACCATACCAACAGATCCATATTATCCACATTGGAATGACATACATCCTATGTAAGAATAACCTCTAATTTTAAGCCAAGCAACACTCCCACACATATCTTATATGATACATAACTACTACTAGACATTCGTCCTCTCATTTCTGTCACTCTCAAATATCATCCTAAAATTTGTGTGTGGAACCGAAAGTTTGTCATTATATATAGTCTACATAATCAAAGGTGAAATAGTAATAAGAGAGAGTTTTAAATCAAGTGAGTCAGTGTGTAAAAAGTAAACACATAAAAATAAAAAAGAAAAAATAGCAAAAAAAGAGTTGTTTAGTTACAAATTGACAGTGACTCACAGAGACGTCTGCATGTACGTGTTCACAGGCATGAGAAAGAGAGAGGGAGAGAGGGAGAGAATAGTTGGTATAATTTGCCAAGCAATAGTAGTAACAAAAGAATAGGCTCTACAAGCTAATTTCTCATGTAACATACAGCAAAATCATACTCACATGGGTCAACAATATATGAGTAACAAATTTACTTGCTAAGATCACATGGTATATAAAACTGACTTTGTCCATATTTATGTGTCTACCATATGATTCAGATCTCATCAATATTTATGTCGGCATCATATGATTGCATACCTGGTCACCATCCCTGTGCAATCAGTGTCGATCTTTCCAAAAAGAGCAGAGGAAAAGAATGATGGCAGCTTGCATATTTCCTTTGTAACTTGTTTAAATTCTGCATCATCAAAAGGGAAAAAAAAAAAAAAAAAAGTGGCATATGTAGGAGAGGAGAGAGAACAGAAAGATAAATATACCTTGAAAAGAAAATGTACGAAAGAATCGGAGAGGGGATTTGTATCTCACCATGTACTTGCAATCCATCCGAACTTCCATTAAAAAGGTGATTGATTCTAGAAATACATTGTTCTTTTAGTTCCTTTGGTTGCGGACGACCATTTTGAAAGTAAAACTGCAAGCACATCAATACATACATACATGTTATACCCAATAACTACTACAACAACCATTAGAAGTGATTCACCGAGTCAAACCTGAGGTATGACTTCTCGCACTGGCTCACTAACCAATTTTAGCGGAGAACCTAGGGAAAAAGGGCTGCTTCTTTGCTTCATAGTTCGTGGAGAACCAGAAGCACTTCTTGGTGAAAGTGGAGGTGCACTACCAGCGGGAAAGATGGAAGGCAATGGATTACTTCCAACAGCATTTGAAGTCCCAGGGGAACTAATAGATGTACCTGCTTTTGCATCATCTATTAAGGATTTCACCTGCAGTCATCCCAAGGCAGAAGGCACTTTTTGGGTAAAGAAAATACACCGGTAATGAAAGTCCAAAAACAACTTCTAAATTTTCAATACTAGTAGATATTTATATCATGAGTAATGCTCTATACAAACAAAAAATTCATACATAATGATGTGCCTCATTGTAGACCTTTTACTTCAAAACAAAACACCATTGAAAATGGGTTTATTTACAACAATAGGACTGCCACATCATTCTTGTGAAGTTTTTTGTATGAATTTTATGTATGAATAGAATTTTCCTTATATCATTATGTGCCAAAAAAAAAACACCCTAATAAAACTCCGTTTCATTCAATTGATCAATTTTTCCTGATATTATTATAGTAATAAAAAAGTACAATGTCAAACAGCAATGAAGAACAAGCACAGCATAGCCTACATTATAAATTTTTTTGCTAAGTGATATTTTATTAATAGCCTACATTAATTATGGTGGCATGTAAGAATCTGTGCAAATGAATTTTGACTCGGCACTTTGCCTCATATTTAAATGTATTAGACCTGGCAGCATCGGTTTCTATTAAATGCATGCTACTGCAATGGCACAAAATCAAAACATGGGCTTAGAGCCCCAGACTAGAATTTAATAAAACATAATCAAAAGGATCATCAACTAATGACAATGTGAAAATGTCATAATAGATCATTAAAACTTTCCCTGGTGCTATTTAGAGTCTAAACATGCTAATGCAACCATCTACATACAATGGGAAATAAATCATTACCCGCTCTACTTAAAATCCATTAAATCAAAGGCGGCCTGAAATGAGGTTAAACTAGGATGCTTGAGATCCAATGGTAGGTTAACATGTTCACAGCTCTTTCCAATTTTTCCGTAAGTGAAAGTCAGCGAAATTCTGGATTTCCATTAATAAATATTTAAACTATTCAATCGAAAATGTACAACATTTCATTTTCCTAGTTGATTAAACCTTAGTTGCATGAAGCAGGACGAGAGCAAGGACACAAAAGAGTACACAATTGGGAGCGCCTAAGGGAACATTTAGGTATTTCATATATAAATATATTTTTACAAAAACACCGCTTAGTTTTCATGGAAAGAAGAACAAAAGGCAAGAGATTTGGATAATCTATGCTATTTCGATGTGTTCTTTATTTTTTTGCCATTATTTCATTTTAACATAGATTGATATGTTCATCCTTTTCTACCGCACATACTTATATTTGTTCATCTTTTTTCTTTGGGATGCATATGTTTGAACGGTCCTATCCCAATTGGAACTGTGATTCTCTCTCAAAGGGAACATGGTTCTAACTCGACGGGAATAAGGTTCTGACTTGATTATTGCTCTACACCACAAAATTGTGGTTCTGGAACTAAAATGTCACAAGATAACACAACACACAAGATAACTATCATATTCGTGCAATGTGATTGATATTCAACTTTCAAAATGCCTTCCTGGTGAAATGGGAGATGCACAAGACAAAATCTCGTTCTAAAGAGTGTGGAGGTTCATGTCATCTTCAAGGCCCTTTGCCATACTTTCCTAATGGCAAATTTTAGGATTCAGTGAACCTATAAAAATCAAAATGGATGTCCTATACATAGTTCATGATGCTATGTCTCAACCAAAACATCATTTTGACCAAAATGTTTCAATGCATTTATATGGGAGCCTTATATTTAAATTTAGAAATAAATATACCTATATGCTGTAGTCTGCTATAATTTAACGACATTGAGGAAGAAAATCAAAGATTAAGAGGGACTCAAGCATGATCCCTTTTTTTTAAGTATGCTCTTCCTTTGCTTCTTTAGTATATTTGACTCTTCTAATTAGTGGCATACATTTTAGATGTAGAGTCACTCGAGAAGAATTAACAGTCTAGATCACACCAATGACATGTTAGTCAAGTAAGCATTGGATGGCCCTAATAGAACCCATTTCATCAAGGTTGGGTTTCCAAAGATCATGACGTTGTAGGATTTTTCCATTGTTTAATTAAGTTATAATCTACAAAATGGTCTAAAGAGCATGACCATATAACTCCACAAAGAAACAAAAACTTCTTTAACTGGATATTTGTCATTTTTTAGATATGTAAGATTCTTATATTCACATCAAAGGCTTACAACATTTAAATCATATTGCACACTAATAGAGCCCCGTTAGTGGTACAAAAATTTAGCCATTACAGAGATGTTTGGAATTACTTATGTATGTTTTCAAATGTTGCACCTAAGTTCTAAGTCTCTTTCAATATCACGACTCACTGAGTGTTATTGACCAGCACACTGAAACAATAACGTTTTCAAATGTTGCACCTAAGTCTCTTTCAATATCACGACTCATGAGAGTTATTGACCAGCACACTGAAACAATAATGTATCGCTTGATAACGTTGTCAATTTCCTGTACTGTTCACAAAAAAAGGAAACCAATTTTCAATTTTTTTATTTTTTAATATAAAAACAATTTAAAAAATTTAAAACAAAAAATTTTTGAAAACGAAAAATAAAGAAACATGTTTGATGAATTGTTAGAAGTGATAGCCGGTTGTGGGGGTGGTGGGAGGTGGCCACAAGAGAGTTGTTGGAGGTCACAAGGTGGTCAAAAGGTGGCCGAAATTCATGACTAGTGACCGCCCAGTCACACAGAAGCCGAAGGTGGTTGGAGCTCGCCGAAGATTGGTCCGGAGGCCGATGATGGCTGGTGGTGGCAGTAGGTGGTTGCCGGTTGTGGTGAGAGATGGGGGAGAGAGTGAAAATTTGTTTTGAAAACAAGTGAAAACACCCTTTTTTCGTTTCCAAAAAATTTGAAATGAATTTTGCTTTTTTGTAAATGAAAACAGCATACCAAACAAGTTTTTATTTCCAGTTTCTAAAAAAAAATGGAAAAAGAAAGCAAACAAAAACATTACCAAACAAGAAGCTATTGTAATAAGGTTCATCTAAATTTGAAGCCAATCTCATGTTTCCTAACATTTCAACTTTGGTAATCAAAACAAACCCAAGCAAAACTAAATATCTTGCTTACCAGTAAACATTAATACCCACATCCTGAAATACATGCTCTAAAACATAGTATATTTCCATTCAATAATGGTAAATTAACAATACAAATATATTTTAAAAGATCTATGTACATTCTACAAAAAAATTCCTGAGGAAGCAAAAAATCAAATATAATGAACTAAAATCTAGAGTGGTTGGAGTTTTTGAATGATAAATGAAAAAACAATAAATAACTGAAAATCCATAATGCTTCTAAAATTATGTTTATATGTGATTAATTTGAAACATAATGAACTTTATTTTATTGAATGTCTAATTATTAAAAGAAAATTGCTCACATATTTTTTATTACCTTAAATTCTAATAGTGTGATCTATACAACCACGTAAACATATGCATACTTCCAAGCTTTGGTAGGAGCCTTCATTGTGCATGAATAATGCATTATACTATTAGTTACATTTATGATTGAATGCTACTTTATTTCATGTGTAGATAATAATGGGATCCATTCATTGTACGAATTTTTGCCACGCACGGATCAAACTTCTTTTGGTAGCTTGTGTTGTCAACGCTTCATGGTGAGCACGCAATTAAAGCAATTGATAGACTAAACGAATACGAAAAATGATATTTGACCACCTCATTTTAATCCATTTCAATTGTCAAACACTGTTCCACAAAAGGGTCAAATTTATTTACAGTTAAATGAAAATTATCTAACCATTTAAATAGTTGACGTGAGCAACCTCCTAGTTCCAATTGCCATTTGCTTGACACTTGCGTAGTCTACAAAAAACCTGAATGTAAATCTCTCTCTCTCTCTGCATGCCACTGTGAACCAAAAAAAAAAAATCAGTCACTCCCCCTTCCCACTTTCACCACAATCGCCAACAAGCAATGACACCACCCCTGCAACCAAATCCATCCAACATCCCCACATTCGATTTTCTCGATTTTTAACCTCCTTTGCTTTTCAAAATTTGGTATTTAATACTACCATTAGCCGAAACCAGAATTATAGTTCCTATTTGCCGACACACTTATTTGAGTCACAGGAACCATCACTAAATCATCTCTCTCTTGTTCACAGCTAAGCTAGCTGGCATAGAGCCCTAATATATAAATGTGTGAATCCCAGATTAAGAAAATCTGATTGTTTACAAGCAAACAGTTTATAGATTAATCCCACAATAAATCATATGTCGTCTCCTAATTATCTACCTAACCTAAACAATTCTTCATGATTCTCCCTTCACTCCAAACACTACCCAGTTGCATGTATTTAACAGTATAATCACATTGATGCATAATTAATTGAATCACATCATTACAGTTTTACAAGCAACTATCAGATATTTTCATAAACATTAAATCTCAAATGCTGATTGGGTAGTCAATGACAAGTTAGAACAAACCATGCACCAGCCAAACGATCAAACCAAACCATGCATTAAAAAAATTTAAAAAACAACAATTCGCCCAAAGTAGTAGTAGCTATCAAAAGACACGTAATAGAATCATTTCGGGAACAAGTACCAGTCGGCCAGTGTCTGGAAGCGATAACCACTGATCATATAACTCCTCAGCGATTTGAGGGCTGGCCTTAAGCGCCATAGGAGAAACCTCTGGAAGCTGCAACAGTTCAGGGTCTAGAGACGTCGCATCGCCCGCAATTTCCTTTTCCATTGTATCTACAACCTATATAACTCAAACCCCACTTCGAAACCCTAAAAATCTCCAACTTCAATTCAATCAAAAACGCTTCGCAACAAATTAATCTCCGATCACAACACATCAACCCGTAAACAACAACAGTAATAACAACAACAATTACTAATCGCACCGATTTCTCTAAACAACGAATTCTAGATTGAAATAACCCTAGGTTTCAAACTCAAATTCGAAAGATTTCAGCGTCCTCGATGCTTTTTGCTCTCGGAAACGCTTTGAAATGCTTGTGAATTCGAAGAGTGAAAGCGTTAGAAACATACAGTTCGAATTTAAAGGGGGAGATAGAAGTATATAAAAACGCAGAAATCAATTGAGTGTATGAATGATGGAGGTTGTGAGGATCACATAAGAAGATCAGAATAGGGTTTTGGACACCGGGGGGTCAGTGAGTATCGCGAAGTAGAGAGGGAGAGAGAGGTTTTTAACTGAAAGTGGCCCTGGAAAGGACTAGTCAGAGGCGAAGAATCGAGTGTTCTTATAATTTATCCACAGCCATAGACAAAAATCATTTATGGCCTAGTTTGATACAATTATGTAAAAGTAATTATAATTTATAGTTTAATAATTTTTAATTTTTAATTGTGAATATAAGTTAATTTTTAATTTATAAACTAAGTTTATTTTTCTTCATTTAAATAATAAGTTGATTTTTTACTTATAAAAAATTATAAATTATATTGTTAAGTTGAACCAAACACATCAAAATAACTTAAATTAAGCTGAAAATAAACTCTACCAAACAAGACCTACGTCCTTGTATACTGTATAGATGAGTGGTCAGTAAATTGGGCAATTCTATTTTCACAGGCTACTCAATACCCATTTATTCTCAATATAATGATTTTTAAATATAAATTTTTACTCAATACACATTATTTTATTTTTTTTGTCAAAAATACCTTTAACTTCTTAAAACCTAACCTAACTCTAGCCATCATTTGCTGCCATTACCATCACTACCGCCGTCATAAATCACTATGAATTCCAATCATTATCACAGGTCTCTCTCATCTCACATTCACTGCTACTACCATCTCTGGTGGCCTTCTTTAACGTTCTTCTACCATCACCTTCACACCTCCGCCCCTACTCAATACTCTCTGACACCTTTTTTGCAACCTTTGCCGCTTGCAACTCCCTCACCTACAACACACCAACCCTCTCCACACTTTGGCGACAACAATATAAAGAAAGTTACACAAAGGGAGATCACACAACTAGGGTTTTGAAATAAAAAGATATTGCCGACAACTAAGGTTTTAAAGAGATAAATCGTGGTGGCTAGGGTTTCATAGAGAGAGAGAGAGAGAGAGAGAGAGAGAGAGAGAGAGAGGTTGCAACTATGATTTTGACAGAATAAAGAGTGGTTGTTGCAAGAGTGCCAAAGAGAGGTTGCAAACTGAATTTGCAATAGTAGAAAGCTTGTAACAGTGGGATTTTGTAGCAACAAAGTTGCAGCAATGGTGGTTCATGGTGGTAGTGGCAAGGGTTAGATTTAGGAAGTTAAGATTTTGGCAGAAAAAATAAGAACATTTTGATAATTTTATTTTAGGAGAAAATTGTAATAAAATAAAGTAAGATATTATTAAGTACGTGAATAAAGATGAAATGTGATGTGGAAATAGAAGCTCTTCAGTAAATCGGTAAAATATACCCTTAATCAAGTATAATAGTAATGATTTTATCATAAATTTTCTAAAAAAAATTAGAGCGAATTACACTAACTGTCCCTATAGTTTGGAAATTGTGTCATTTTGGTCCCTGACTTTTCAATTGTGACATATTTGATCATAAAGTTTGAATTTTATTCCAAATAAGAACAATTGAAGATACAATTGCTCAATTTCAATGGCAACATCGTCAATCTGATAAAATATAAACAAATTAGACAAAAATAAATGTCAAAAATATTTTTAAATTTTTAAAAATAATTTCTACCCACCAAAAACAAATTTATGTAAAATTGATAAATCTTTTAAACATTTATTTTTTTATCAAATTAATTTTTATTATGTGTTTGGATGATGATCATGTAATGAGTGGTTGTTAGGCTGTCAATGTGTAATCGATATATTTAATATATGAAATGTTTTTAGTTTTGAATTTTTTGATTTAATAGATTAGTTTAATAATGATATCAAAATTGTTGCCATATTTGACTTTTGAACAAATAGAAACTAATTGAATAAAAATAAAAACAACCACCCATTATATGATCATCATCCAAACATATAATAAAAATTAATTTGATAAAATAAATAAATCAATAAATAAACAAATAAACATTTAAAAAAATTATCAATTTTATATAATTTTATCTTTAGTGGATAGAAATAATTTTAGGAATTAAAAAATATTTTTTTGATATTTATTTTTGTTAGATTAATTTATTTTTATCAAATTGATAATTTTGCCATTGAAATTGAGTAATGATATCTTCAATTGTCCTTATTTAGAATAAGATTCAAAATTTAAGATCAAATGTCACAATTAAAAAATTAAGGATCAAAGTGACACAAGACTCAAACTATCGGAATCGTTAATATAATTTGCCTAAAAAATTACTTGTAATTTTCAAAACTAATTTACATACATGGAATCTTCTATAAAAACTAAAAATAAAAAACAAAATTATGTTTTCCTTTTCTTATCTTTTATATATATATATATATATATTTATATATTATCTCAATAGACATTACCCGTTGTTATCGCGTAACCACCGTCCATGCCACAATCTACAACTGTTACTACCGTTTAGCTAACTTTACTTCCATTAATCACCATCTTTGCATTGCACGTGTCCCAACCACTGCCATACTTATTCATTCTCTCATTTTGTATCTCCGTTGTTCCCTTACTACCATACTACACAGCATCCACCACTACAAAAATCTCAATCCCACCCAAACATCAACCCGTAACCACACACCACTACTGAAAATAGTAATACAACCCAAACCTCATTACGTAATTATAATCTCTTAAATTTTACAAAATCCCAAACCACATTCTACAAGTACGACCATTATTGAAAACCTTAACACTAAGCAAACCCCACTGCACAATTACCATTGCCATGAAGATCCGAAACTCTACCCGAATCATATTTCACAACTACGAAGAAAGATAACTTGCACGGTTTGACAAATGTCAAAAAAAATTGATCCTTTTACAAATGACGGCCACCCAGCCGTGGAGGCACCTTAAGCCAGGGAGATCACGTGCCCCCAGGTTTTGGGAGAAATTTTTTTTTAATTTAAAGAAAATATTTTAAATAAAAAAGTTTATAAAAATATTATTTAAAGTGAAATGTCAATGATATTTTAAAATTATGAGAATAATAATGATTATTTTGATTGAAAATAAAAACACCATGATAAGTCATATTATTATTTATAAAAATTTTAATGTAATGGTGATATCTATCACTATTGACATGCAAACATAATTAATTTTAATGAAGATATGAAATTTATTGAATTGTTAGTTACTTTGACATGTAGAGTTTATCTTCTATGTTTATCCTCCATGTGTTTCTTTCCATTCATAACTAAAATGACCACTATATAAATTATAATCAAGCAACACATCTTCAATTATAAAAAATAATATAAAATTACAATAAGTCATAATTAATATCAGAATGAGTCATAACTAACTATTACTTGATATATAGTCATAACCAGAATAACAACCACAAGAAGTTATAATTAAATTATATCTAACACTATAATGTGTTATAACTAAAAACCACGAAGATCATAATTACGACATATGATAGACACTTTTATTGCAGTATGTTTTATAAAATTTCTCTACTAAAATATATCATTTCTATCTCAACTTATCTTCTTTTTTAAATTTCTAATCCACCTATAAAATAGTTATTTCCCAATATCTGTATAAAATTTAATTTCAAATCCTTCAATTTAAAATTCATATTTATCCATATGAATTCTTAATATTTAAGTTTAGTAATATCTCATTATTGTTTATTATGAAAAAATAAAATAATGTTGTCATTAATTTGTATCCCCTCTTCACTAAATTCCTAACTACGTCACTGCGGCAACTGCTTTATTGTTTAGTATATTATGCTCCATCTCCCTCCATCTCCGCTTTGGCTGCCACGAAAACCTTAAAAAAAAAAAAAAAAAAGAAGATTTGAAGCAAACTTGATGGCTATGGAGTGGACAGCAACGTTGTTTGCGGCGAAGATGGAGCGACAAGTGAACTAATTGAAGGCGGGGAATGAATGAGGAGTGGGTCACTTTTTCCAGCTCTTGATCTTTGCAAAGGTGAAGAGGAAGTAAAGAGAGTGAAGAGTTGGCTGGAGTGGAGGGACTGGAATGACTGGGGATCCCCGCCAACCAAAGTTGGTGGTCACTATTTTTGATAACTAATTTAAGAACACTAATTGGTGGGTCTTATTTATTGATGTGATATTTTGGTCTTAAATTTTTTTTTTTCGTTTTTGTTTTTGAATTTTCACAGTGGTCAATTAGTACTCGCAAATTAGTGGGATGAATCATTATTAATGTAAAAGGAAATGTTAAAGGAAGTTACATTTAGTTATCATCTTTAATTATGTTTTCATGTACTCTTTAACGTTGGTATAGTTTGGAAAGATCTAAACATGATCTTAATTTTCTTAAAAAATATTATATTGAGGTCAAGTTTGGCATCTCTCAAAAAAAATAAAAAGTCAAAAAATTACTCAAAAAATTTAAAAGTTATCACTATTCATCAAAAAAAATATTAAAAAATTAATTTCCCATAAATAAAGTACAACTCAGCTGTGCAGATTGTGCAGTGTTCTTTAAGAAAAATTGCACAGTTTGGGTGCAATTTTTACATATTGCTGTTCGGCCCATGGGGCCCATCACGAGTCCCGTTTTGATAATCTAAACTGTCAATGTGTAAACCTCGTCGAGTACTATATGTCTGTAAAAAATCACATTGATCGGATATCGATAACTACATGATCAAATTAGTTTTGTATAAAAAATGGATGGTGTTATAATTAACGATTGAAAAAAAAAATGATCAGATAGCTATGGATATCCGATCAACGTTATTTTTTATAAGCATATAGTGCTCGACGAGTTCTACACATTGAACGGTTCAGATTATCAAAATGGGACCTGTGATGCCCCCCACGGGCCAAACAAAACCGTCAAGTGCAATGTCCGAAAATTAGCCAATAATTTCTTACCATCAATTATGCATAGCAGGTTGTACGGCTGTACAACACACCTCTCTAATCTTCTCCTACACACTTCTTTATACAAATTTTTAATACACATTTTTTCATAAAAAGTAAAAAAGTTAACCCAAACATCTATTTTTTTTTCTCAACTTTTTAGTCAAAAAAGACAAAAAAAAACACTTATTTATGACACTAAAAACAACTCTTGAATCTCACCGTAGTAATATCGATCACTTTAATATTTATTTTTACTTCATTTACATGATAAAAGAGAAAGGGAAAAAAAAATCACATCTTAATAAAACTCGCATTATTTAACAAAAGATAAAAAAGTTACAGGCTTGGTTGATACGTATCTCAAGATACAATTTAAAAAAAAAAAATTCAAAATTTTGGCCAAGTTTGACAACACCAAAATAATTTCTTTTTATCTTTTTTTCATCGCATTACCTCTCTACTTTTCTGCACATATTTTCGTAAAAAGATAAAAAGTGTACTTATTTAGGTCATCCCAAACAACCCCATTTGTTTGGTTTAAATTTTTTGAAAAAAAAAAAATTCAAAATCCCTTTCTCTCTCCTACATATTAATTAATCATTTTTTTCTTTCCTCTCTCATTCTCAATCATTTTTTCTCTCACACATATTACTCAACTATAACAAAATATCAAATCATCTAAAACTCTCAAACTCCAAATTTATTTTCAAAATATATAACAAAACAAATCAAAAAAATTTCTAAACTTTTTCCTTAATTTTTTTTAAAAAAAAATTTATCTCAAAACACAAACCAAACATTTTCCGCTTTATTGTCTTGAATTAATTATTTTTAAGTTTTCAAGTTCATAGAAATATTTAAAAAGTAAAAAATTCAAAAATTCAAAAAATAACTAAACACCTAGAAAAAAAAAAATCCACTTGAACTTTTCCAATAACAAAAAAGTATATACTTTTCCAATAACAAAAAAGTATATATTTTAAAATTATCAAACACAAGATTTTTAAAATAACAACTTGATATATATATATATATATAACAAAATAAAGTTTTTATTTATTTATTAAATATCTTACTATTTCAAAAAAATTGAAGGGAGGTCACTGATAAATGCAAAACTATAAGGTCATGTTTGTTTGGGTGGACATGAGCTTGCGATTGGACTAATAGTCCAATAAAATTATTAATTCGATATTTGGTTAAACAATTAAAGTACGGACTAATTATTTTAAACTTGATTATTAGTTAAGATAGGATATATAATCCAACGGATTCATAGTCCTTGGACTATTAGTGAAGGGAATGTTAATCCAGTCCGCCCAAACAAACATGGCCTAAGGGTACAGGGCAATTTTGAAGGTAGGTGACTGATAAAAAGCAAAACCTTAGGGGTACGGTGAAAGTTGCAAATTCCAGGTACTTTCCTTAAACCTTCGAATCATCTCATCCCTCTGTGTCTATATCATCTATGTCCTTGTATCTATTAATCTAACCGAACTTCACAATAATCATCGCTGAAAAATCCGACATCTGAATCGAAATCATGAACATCTTCGCTAAGAAACCCACAGCCAAAGGTTTGTGCCCTAGTTTTCTTCTTCAAGCTTTATAATTCACATCAATTACGCGATTCTATTCATTCAATTAAGGACTTTCTAGTTTCAATTACTCAAAATTCTTTGTATTTTGCTTTGACTTGTTCGAAAAATCGATCAACACGTTCTGGTTATGTTGGACCTTATATAGAAAGATTTGCTCTGTTTATATGTGTTTTGATTACAGAGGCGCTTCGAGAGAGTAAGCGAGAAATGACCAATGCGACCAGAGGTATCGTTCTTTGTCTTTGTTGCATCTAATTTTGATCAATTGAGTTTTCTCGTTAGTTTTCATTATCATCATGATTAAGATCACTATTTGGCCTTTTTTTCATCATTTTAATAAAATTGGAAACTTTTTATTATTGCTTATTGATTCATTGCTCTATCTATACTTATATACATAAACGCAAAAGTGATTAATCACTGTTTTCTTTGTGGTTATTGAGATGGCAAACAAGTTTTGGATTCGGATATTCTGAGTACCAGTTTGGTCGTTGACACGAGAAGTTATAAAATTGACTAAAAAAGTTGTTGGGGTGCTTTAAACCTTTTATATTGTTTTGAATGTTTTTCGTCATAATTAAAATGTAGAATGCTAGAATTTGTTGGATAGAGAAGAAAGACTACTATGTATGTTATCCAAATTCCAATACATAAAAAAGAACTAAAACAATACAAATCCAATATATTAAAAAGACTGTGGCATGAAAATTCAATGGAGAACTGAGGCCTTGTTTGGGATTGGATTTTTTAGTGGTCTTTTGGCTCTTTTAGAAAGCTAAAAATGCTAATGTGTTTGGGAAGTTGCAATGATTAGTTGTTTTTTTGTGAGTGAAAAAGTTGAAGTTTTTTGACTTTTTTGGCCAAAAAGCTCACTTTTTTAGCTTGATCCTAAACAAGGCTTGGGTTATGGGAAAATGTATTTTGTGCTAATCTTTTGATCTGGCAATTAGAGTTGCTTGGCTAGAGATTTAAATTCCAACCTGAGTTATTCAAGTAGAATGTTATGGTCCAAAAGAACCAGTGTTGCTTTCCTTGTTGTAACATATTCAGAAAAACATATTGGCAATTAGAGTTGCTTGGCTAGAGATTTAAATTCCAACCTGAGTTATTCAAGTAGAATGTTATGGTCCAAAAGAACCAGGGCTGCTTCTTTTCCTTGTTGTAACATATTCAGAAAAACATATTTCTATGTCCAGTATGGAAACTTTGTCACTGATAATGGCTTTTAGTTTTTTTAGTTTAAACACTTAGAGGATGTAAGGTTTTTTGTTTTTTTGGGTGCGCAATAAATGTTTATTTATTTATTTATGAATGCTGTGCCATTTGAATTTTGTTTTGTTTAGTTTTTTTAATGGCATCCAGTAAGTGTGGTTGGAGGAAAAAAAAAGTGCGGTTGGAGAAAGAATTAGATGGATGTTGTGTTCACTTTATGCTTTAAGCTGTCAGTGTCATATTTCTGTTAAAATTGATCCTAGGTCAGTTTTAAGTTTCAACTTAATTGAGTAATGACACTTGTTGGACTTTTATCTTGTTTCAGGTATTGAGAAGGAAATCACCACCTTGCAATTGGAAGTATGTTGAAAAGTTTATAGGTAATGTCTATGTTGTAAGTTTTTGGTGTTTGATCTAAATATAAATTATTTGTTGATATAGGAAAAGAAGCTTGTTGCGGAGATAAAGAGAACTGCTAAAACAGGAAACGAGGTATGTTCTGTTTTTATATTTGCCTAAGAGTGTTGAGGGTTTACTTATAAGAACATTGAGGGAAAGGCCCAGTGCATCCCTCCTAGCACTACACATTGGTGGGACTAACACTGGGTTGTATTTATCTTTCTTGTCCATTAGCAATTCTGTTTGGGTCTATATTCTGATTGAAGTAGCCATTGATAACTTCGATGTCAATAACTATGCAAGATGCACTCTTTTTGAATTATTAAGATTTGTCTTCTTATTTTTATTTGTATCTGCATTTTGCAGGCAGCAACTAAAATTTTAGCACGTCAGCTAATCAGGCTTAGGCAACAAATAGCAAAATTACAAGGTAGCCGAGCTCAAATGAGAGGTATAGCGACGCACACACAGGTGAATTGTCAAAACCGTTCTGTTTCCTCCTTAGATTTATTATGTTTTGCATTGCTCTGTTTCATCTTAGCAAGAGTATCTCCTTTTGCAGGCAATGTCTGCCCAATCATCAGTGGCTGTTGGCATGCAAGGAGCCAGCAAGGCAATGGCATCTATGACTAAAGTTAGTCAGTAACACTTGTATAAATCTTCTAACATTCATTCTTCATGCGCACATAAGTTAATCATTCTATTGCAAGATTGAACTCTATTCACATGCTTTAATTTGGAAAAAGCTGATTGTTTGACAATTAAGATTATCTTTCTAACTCGTGATTTAGTTAATGAACAATAGTAATGAATTGTAAAATATTATAGTTTGTTAATTTTTTCTTTAGTTATTTCTTTCTGTAATGTGTCTGCTTTGTTTGCAGCAAATGTCCCCAGCTAAGCAGGCGAAGGTGATACAAGAATTTCAGAAGCAATCAGCACAGATGGATATGGCTGTAAGATTGTACTTTTTTTCTCTGTGTATATTATATAGAAAGAAGATCCAGCTCAGTTCTTCAGCTGCACAGTTGCCGAAACTAATCTGTTAGCACTCGACAATGCAGACTGAGATGATGTCCGATGTCATAGACGATGCTTTAGATAATGACGAGGCTGAAGAGGAAACTGAAGAGCTGACAAACCAGGTTCACTTTTTAAATTTCTGTTGTAGTTTCATGTGATAATCGCCTTGGTCGATATATATGCTGAGAATAATTGTGGCTACTTATCCAAGATGAAAGATCAAATAAGAACCATAAATAAAATCCTACTACATAACCAAAACCGGTACCATGACCCATGGACGATCTCTACAGTCTATGCTCAAATTTTTTTTTTTGAAATTACCAATTGATACCTAACATACAAAATACTAGAAAACAATTAAAAAACAGACCAAATTTAAACCTACCTTGAGTAATCTTATACTTTGAGTCTATTGGCCTAAAACTTAATTTTACATGGTTCCAATTGATCCCATATGAGTTTTGCTTGAATTACTCAATTTCCAAACTTTATCGCATCTTTAATTTTTCTTGTTCTTATATTGGTTTGCGTCACCCATACTTCATAGATGTTTCATTGAGCACACACAATTTAGTGAATGAACTCTTGGAGGTCATTGACAATTGGGATTGAAACAAGGACCTGATCGCAATATTCCTTTTTCACTGTTAGAATTGAAAGGAATTTTGAACTTTAAAAGATTTATGTAGTCATCTCAATTTTTTTTCTTTGTTTGGTAGTTTATTTATTTATTTATTTGACAGGTCCTAGACGAAATTGGAGTTGATGTTGCCTCTCAGGTCGGTATTTGTCAGAGTACTTTATGTTGTTAGTTGATGCTATTTTTCATGTATTAAATTAGTTTTAAATTTAACTTGCACTTTTGATAGTTATCAGCAGCACCCAAAGGAAGAATTGCTGGGAAGACGACCGAGGATGCTAACAGGTATCTTACTGTTTCTTCGCTGTATCACTTCCCCTTATTCTCTCTCTCTGTTTTACCCCACATTGAGCTGGCATACCATTATATTAACAACCATGTAGAAGATTCTACAAAATTTGTCAAGGATGTTAACAGCCATTGCAATTCTAGAAAATAAATGCTTTATATTTTAGTAGAGATATATAATTGGGTAAAATTCCATGCTCTGGGTTCTTAGCTTGTCATCAAAAAAAGAAAAAAAAAAGAGTTGTCTAAAATAATTGTTTTCTTCCAACATAACTTTATTTTGTAATTGACTTTAAGTGTACCATGTCCATGTAGACACTTGTAATGGTGAATTACATCTTCTTTTCAGTGTGCCTACAAATTAGGAAATAAGATCTGGAAGTTTTTTTTTTTTTTTCTTTCTTTCTGTTTGATGTAAGAGTGAGAGTTGTTTATTGATTCATGTGGAATGCTCGATTGTTAACTTTTATCTTATTAGTTTTCACATAGCTAGTCTTCGCAATTCGCTTAATTTTGGGACTATGGGAGAGACAAATTTGACCTGAAAAAACGATGGACTCATTGGCATCATCTTCGGATTATTTGTGTGATTCATACATCCTGTTTTTACTCCTTTTTTTATTTTTTATTTTTTATTTTTTTGAGAAAAAAAAGAAAAGAAGCTTATTCTCTCTTCCTTGCAGTTCTAGCATTGATGAGATGGAGAAGAGGTTGGCAGCCCTTAGAAATCCTTGAACTGAAGATTCAAGGGCAGACCATGTTTCATGGCCTAATTGATAATTGGATCCTCCTTTTAATTTGTGAATTTGTTGAAGGTTGCACACTGCACATAGTTTTTCCATCGTCTGTGCTTGCATTTTCGTTTCTCCAAAACCATGATATTAAATGGAATTAATTTGTGTATTGTCCAGTGAAAGTGCAACTCTCGTGCATTTGATAATGACGATATTACTCCTGTATCTAGTGCTTACCTGATGATTTTATTTGTTCAAGCTACCAATATGGGTGAATTTAGTAAATCTTATGAGTCAGTTGTTGCTGAATGATTTATTTGCTGTGAGAACCAAATATTTCTTTTGTCTGATACCAAATGCTTTTCATCTCTTCTGTTCTCTACAACTCCAAGGATCCAACGGAGAACTGCAAAAAACATTGCCTAGTCCTCGACACATGGGCTGAGTTTTGTTTCCTGTTATGCTGTGTTTGGTTTGGGAATTTGGAAAAAGATTTGGAAGGGAAAAGAGAAAATGTGTATGAAACTAGGTGAAATGTAGGTATATTTTATTCACATATCATCTACATTTTTTCTTTCTATTTTTAAATTTTTCTTCAAATCTCCCAATCAAGCATAGCTTAGGAATTTTAGAAAGGGGCTATGGTTTGCCATTGGTGAAGGAATAATCAAAGATCGAATTTTAGAGGATGGAGGAGCATGGCCAGCAACTGCGAATATTAGGATTTTAAAACAAACTAGGCCCTTCAAATCTTTTCTTCATGTTTTAATTTTTGCCATTTTGTGTCACGATTCTCATGGTTTACACAAACAATTGTGGGTGGGGGCCTGATTATGGAGTCTACAACTGTCAGCTCAAAAAAATGGACAAATTATTCGGAAGTTTTGTTTAAAAGAGAAAAAATCTAAGGCCTTGTTTGGTAATAATATATTTTAGTAAAAAAGTTAAAAAATTACTATAAATTGTCAAATCACTCTCTTTGTTTTTCTGTGTATTTTTTCGTAAAAAATCAAAAAGTTATTAAAATAACTTGTTTCCAAACAAGGTCTAGTTCTACAAGTTTTTGGATACTCTCAAAAGTCCATTATGTATTTTTCTTTTTTGTTGTTTTCTTCTTCTTTCTCTTGATTTTCGGTGATTGACGCGATTACACCTTGTGCCAAAAAGATGAATAGATTTATTCAGATCTGATGTAGATCTATTACATGAAATCTGAATAGATCTAAACTAAAAACAGTTGTCGGAGTACAATATTCTCTGTATATTTGCTTCTCTCTTTCGATCTTTTAATTTTTTTATTTTTTCTCTGCTACATATTTGTATTTTCCTGTTTTAATAAAGAAAATTTTCAAATTTTAAACAAATTGTTTTCGAGTTTTGATTATAGATGATGAAAATTGTAAAATTTTACAGTTTCAGTTTTTTGATACTAAAATAAATCATTCTTTAAAATTATAAAATTTTGTAGTTTCATACGACATTTTCCAGTTTGATTAATAAGGATAAATGTTTAATAAAATCATGCTGTGAACATGTAATATTTTACAGTTTCAATGCTTGTTTTTCCATTTGATCAATATTGAAAACAATTGGCTTAAAACTTACAAAATTGAAAAATAATATATGTTTTTTTTCCATTGTTATTGTTTGTTGTTGTTGTGTTTTTTTTTCCTCTTTCAGTTTATCAATATTTAGAATATTTTGTTATATTTTTTTATTATAATTTCTCCATTTATTTTTTTTTCTCCGGGCAATATTCTAAATATTTCGATGAGTCTCTGATGATGTTCTTGACGTCCAACAAACATTTTGGACATTTTGGCTACTTTCAGTGACATTCAGAATTCTCCAGCAACTTACCGGTGATGTTGAACATTCCAACGAGTATCTGGTGACCATTTGATAAAAATCCGACAGTAGTAGAATGTAACAGCATTTTTAAATTTATATAAAAAAAAAAAAATAGTAGCAATTAAAAATATGTAAGATTAATTAGTGCAATTGCTTTGTTTTGAGATTGAATGAATTTTAAACTTTATGTATAGGACTTACTGATAAGTGCCCAAAAAATTAACTCTGATAGCTTGAAAGTAAAACAAAGTGTAATTAATAAATTCAGAATTCTCCAGCAGCTTACCGGTGATGTTGAACATTCCAACGAGTATCTGGTGACCATTTGATAAAAATCCGACAGTAGTAGAATGTAACAGCGTTTTTAAATTTATATTAAAAAAAAAAAATAGTAGCAATTAAAAATATGTAAGATTAATTAGTGCAATTGCTTTGTTTTGAGATTGAATGAATTTTAAACTTTATGTATAGGACTTACTGATAAGTGCCCAAAAAATTAACTCTGATAGCTTGAAAGTAAAACAAAGTGTAATTAATAAATTTCAATCAGACAGATGCCACATCGGTATATTTGGTTTATAGTCGGATTCTACCCAAATTACACGGCCTAGTCTAGTCCAGTCTATTGTAAAGTTCATTTGAGTTCATTTTAATAATTCAAATCAACATCAAATCGTTTATTTTGTAAAACGTTTAGAAGAGATTATTAAATACCAAAATTCTAACCGATTGAACATTGAAAGTCACTACATCCGAGTCACTGATTGACTTGAACAACTTAGATTATTAAGATCAGCTCAGTGGACTAAACAGGATGGTCTAGTTGGATAGTTGTATATCCTGACTGTTAGGATCCAATCCAAGATTGGGATTTGGGTATATACGTAAGAGGACATTAACCAGATGCATAAACAAGCAACATTTATTACAGCTAGTAAATCTCATACATAATTGAAAATTCCCGACCATCTACACTCCAACCTCTTTGGATTGGTATAAAATCATTACTCAGTGGCCAGCGTCACACATTTAAAAAAAAAAAATAAAAAAATAAAAAAAACATAATCAGACAAATCACCTAATATAAGTTGGAGTGTAAAATGTCGTGTAAAATGATGATTTTTCATATACAAGAGTGAGATGAGATGATGCAAACAGTTCAACTAATATAGAAGGGCTTTTGTCCATTCGACATGAGTACAAACTGTACTACTACTAAAGTGGACAAATCCATCCCCGTTTACTGCTTCCTCAGTGAGAGAAACTCAAAGCTGCGGAGAGGGTCATCACGGGTACTCCCCTTCATGATTGCTGTACGAGAAAAAGATGATTTTGGTTCAACCCCTGGTTGGATTCTTTGTGCAGTAGACAAGCGCGCACCGCTCGTGGCCAGCCCACTTGAGGCCATCCTGCTTGAGCGTATTTCACTGGGTTCGCCAGAGGAGGTTGGTCTGCTGGTGGAGATGGCTCGTCTCGAAGAGCTGCCATTTCGAGAAGTTCTGCCCCTTTCAGAATCAAATTCCTGTAAAAATGGCAAATGAGACTTTCATACAATTTGGAATGTGCAAGCAATGAAACTTTAATGCTTCATTTTTCTCATGAATAAGTTCAACGAGTGGTGAAAAAAACTATCCATGTAAAACAGTACTTTGTGAAATTAACTTGCATGTGTAAGAACTTGTGATTCTTCAAGCCCATGTTTGATAACAGGTATATATTAAGTGATGGGATTATGGTAGTAAGTTGGAGATAAAATAGTAATTGCTCATATTCATTTACCATAAGATTATTACATCAATACCAATCAATCATGTTTGTTTTGCACTAGTTGGTTGGGAAATGAATAAAATTAAGTAGAAGACCCCATTACATAAGAGGTGGTTTTGTTATTTATATACAACAGGGATAGGGATAAAATAATCTTTTCACCACCTAATCCCCCCCTGGGGATTGGATTACCAATCCCATGTCAACACTGGTACTGTTAATCCGGCTGTTTGTTGGATTCATAGTCCCATGGAATTATGAAGCCCATCTCTTTCTAAGGGACAAAAGATAACTTTTGTGGGGCACAGATTACCAATCCAACCCTAACCCTCTACACCAGTAAACAAACACGGCCAAAAGGAAAAACAATCAGACAAATCACCTACACTGAAGTTCAAAGAAAATAAGACAAGCCAAAAGAAAAATCAATTCGTTGAAACCAATGCATAAATTTCTCTTGAAAAATAAACAATACCACATCCTTGGATGAAGGTACATCCTCTGAAGTCTTCTGTTTGGAGTGGTCACCAGGTCGACCAGAACCCGAAGCAAGTCTTCTGGAAAAAGCTTCAGCCGCACCTGAGAATTTCTCTCTAAACTCTTGCCCCACTGGATAAAATAGATGAAACGACTAGTTAAGCATGACTGATTCATCAGGAGCAGAATCACCTTTGCAAAAATATGTCACCAGGGAAAAAGTGCTCTAAAAAAATGCCCTTCCACTTCAAATTATCCGTCTTTGTTGGAATTAGGGCACGTGACCTTGGCTCAACCCATAAACCCAAGATCAGAACCCAAAAAAAAATTCCACAGATGAAGCACGAGATCAATCCATTACTGGGAGCAATCACTATGTTCTGAACTTAGGTCCTGTTTGGTGCAGCTTATGGATATGCTTGTAGCTGCTGCTTCTTTTTAATTTTAATTTTAATTTTTTTTTAAATTTTAGAAATTTGTGCTTTAGTGTTTGGTATAGCTTCCGCTTAGGGCTTATGACGCAAAAATAGTTTATATAAGTTGTAAAAAACTAATTACTGGGAAGCAGGGAAATGACTGTTTTTAGCTTTTGCTTTCTTATTTGTTAACTTTCAAATTGCAAGAAGCTACACCAAACAGGCCCTTAGTCACTACTCAGACATGCCACCTCATTCCTACAGGGTGGCACTAATACCACAAGAAGGTTTGTTGTTTTCATTTCAGTTCAACTTTCAAGTTTCATCCTTCAATATATAAAAGCAACGTGCCGTGGCTGCAACATATTTGAGTTTTGGCATTATAATTTGCCATCCTCTAGTTGTGTTTTGAGAAAATACCTGAGGTCCTTTCTGGTCTTTCTGCAGATGGTCCAAGATTTAGGCCTACATTCCCGCTGGGATTCTAAATACAGGGAAACAAAATTAAGTGACATTCTCAGAAGAAAAGAAATCTGTAACACAAAGTTTACAAGCACTGACCCGTCCTCTAGAACTGGCACCAATCTGAGGATACTTCAATATGGTCCAATCGAACACATGGTCAAACTGATAACCTGCAGCAGTAACAACACAGAAATGAAGATACTACTATAATACTCACAAGAAGTTTTAGATGCCCATGGAGAGAATGTTTGAAAAAATAATAATAATAAGCATTGGGGCTTAACAGTAGCACAAAAATCATACATCATATAGGGCATATTTTGAGTTCTTACTCACCTTCTCGAATAAACAAGTCACGGAAAAGCCTCTTCAAATATGAATAATCTGGTTTATCTTCAAATCGTAATGATCGGCAATAGTGGAAGTATGATATGAACTCTGATGGATATGATTTACAAAGCACCTATCGAACACAATTGAATCTCAAATAAATTCGTATTCTGCAAATATAACTGGTAGAGCAGTATTATTAGTAGTAGATTCATGTCAATTACTGAATCCGGGTGTTGTACAGGCCTAAAGAAAGGCCAATGAATACTACCCATGATCAGCCCAAAAGAATAATTAGACATCTTTGAACCTAAACCAAGCTAAATAACAAATAATTTGAGAAAAAAGAGAATACGACTGCACCACTAAGGCAGACCTGTTATGTCTTAGTGTAATCATATTTGTCAAGAACAGTTTTAAGTATTTATATTTAGGCCTCGTTTGGCAACATCACTTTTTAGCCTAAAAGCCAAAAAGTCACTAAAAAAACTAAAAAACCAACAACCTATACCAAAAAGTCAAAGATTCTCTTTTCCCTCTCCTTTTGCACATTTTTTCGTAAAAAAACCAAAAAGTCATCCAAAACATACTAGTTTTTTTTACATCATGTTTTAGCCAAAAAGTCAAAAAGTTACTAAAAAAGCATGTTCCTATACGAGGCCTTAAATCCATTAACCACAAGGCTAGGCAGCACCAAAGTTTGAAATTTCAACGTGTCCAGGACCAGCCCAGATGTTAAATGGCCCTAAAGCCCAACCCATCCCCATGGGTCTACACGGCATGCTTGGGCTCACCAATATATAATTTGGCTAGGAAACTGCCACCTTAAGTCAGAGCATCAATTTTGATATGTAGCATTTTGATCAATCCTCGTATACTTATTTATGTTTTATAATGAATTCCCTATTCCTAAGAATGCAGCAATCCTGGTGGTTGGATGTAATACCTCTATTGGGGTTAACATCTTCTTTTCACTGATCTTGTCATATTTCTGTTTTTTAGTGCCGGCTTTCAGCCCCTGCCAGGGAAGACTGATGCAAAAGAATCATATGCAATAGATTAAGGAATGCCAAGAGATGGAACAATGCTGTGCTAAAGATTCAACAAGAAGTAGGAAATGCCGAAGAAAAACTAACAAAGTAAAGATAGCACTCGTATATTATCAACCTTCCTCTTAGGAAATACATAAGCACGTAACCAAGAGATTCAAGATCATCCCTTCTGCTTTGTTCTGCCAGCAAATTAAGCACAATTAGATGAAATATGTGACAATCTATCTCCTGTCATTAGATGACAGCACATAGCAAAATGGTAAATCACTCACCAACTCCAAGGTGTGTGTTAACACTGGCATAGCGAGCTGTGCCTGTTAGATTTTTATTTTCTCTGGAAACAAAGATTGAGGAGATTTCATAGTAAATACACCAAAGTATAACAACCAGAAGAAAAATAAAAAAGTAAACTCAAAAACAAAACAAAAGAAGTAGAACTCATATCCATAAGAGAGAAGGAAAAAATCAAAAGTGCACAACAAAAGGACTATTAGCCTCTCATAGCCCTGGGGTATTCCTAGGTAGGTGGCCAATTTAATTACTAGCTTGGAGAGGTGGTATGGGTAGTAGGATGGGAAGTCTTGGAATGTCACCCCTTTGTTCTTGATGTGATGCATTTAAGAAAGGGGAATCTGCTCTTTCAAAGAACTGATGGAATCCATCACTAAGTTGGATTGCATTTTCTTTAGGGTTGTATTTAGCCAGGTGATACTCATCAAATAAATAAATAAAAATTCATCAAGTGACAGGCAAGGGTGGATGACCTTGACCCATATTTTAATGTTGGTTTTGGATTCTTTTTGGCACTCTTATATGAAACAGAGAAAACAAATAGTCTACTTTCCTTTGTAAATTTATTTTAGATAAATTTTAAACTACTGAGGAATGCTCCATCATCAGGGGATGAGAGATGACAATAAGTGCCACGGCTCGAGTTGATGGACTCAAGAGATGCTGTGCTGGGCTATTGAACAGATAGGACTAGAATTCGACACTTGGCTGGGTATGGAAGTGATGGGTTTTTTTGCTTGATGAGTGAAGAAAGATAGCTACATCTTTATTTCACTGGCCCAACAAGATGGTCAGTCATTCATCTACTAACCAACCCTTTTATAAACCTACGAAAAATTTGAGTTTTAAGAGAGTGTAGCAGGGGCTGCATGTGTAGGCAATCATAAAAGAAACAAATCCAGAAACATTGACACTACATAAAGAAGTTCAACAAGTTGGAATTCCTCTGCAGGAATGGAAAGAGCATCAAGCCAACAATTTTGAGCCAAATAAAGATCTCTTACCTGTATGGTATGTGCTTATGAGTCTGAAGATCCCTGTACTTTTTTGCAAGGCCGAAGTCAATGACATATACCTGTGATAAAGAACTAAGACAGTTACAGAAAAAAAAGGAGAAAAAAAAGGGGAAATGTTTCTCAATATCTAATTGCAATGTTGATATTCTCCCTCAAGAATACCACACACATGCAGCACAGACATGGACATGCCGACATTCAAACATGCACGGGACAAGTTAAAACATAAATTTATTATATGTCAAATACATGAATTTGTTATTCAAATGTAATCCAAAAAGTGACATATATTAATACAAACTAAAATTTAAAAAGTCATATATTCATAATTTAAACGTCAAGATATCATTCACAATTATAGTTTAAAGAATGCAAAACAATTGTAGAACATTAAATTATGCATGATATATTCATCTTATAAATATTTCAAAACATATTTAGAGTGCACAAGTTGTATTCCAACAAATGCAAAACATTATTGTTATTATGAATAGATTCATCACATGGATCTTTTTTAGAGAGTTTAAAGGAGTGTCACTGAAGAGTCCAAGAAGTATCTATAAACTTTAAAGTGTCCAATATTATGAATTTGAAATTTTAATTAAGACAAGTTGTATAAGTGTGTGACACACTTTTAAGAGTGTCCGTAGAGTGTCGGTGTCCGATGAGAGCCATCAAACATTTACCTGATTTGCTCTGCGCCCCAGGCCCATTAAAAAGTTGTCAGGCTTTATATCACGGTGAAGGAAACCTCTTGAATGAACGTGTTCCACTCTGTTAATCTAGAACATAATAATGAAAGGATCATAAGATTGTCACTTGGAAGCTCAAGGCAACCTTTTTGATTGAGAATGGCTACATGTACTTACTAACTGATCTGCCAGCATTAATACTGTTTTCAATGTGAACTTCCTGTTGCAATAGTTGAATAGGTCTTCCAAGCTTGGTCCAAGAAGGTCAATAACCATGACATTGTACTCGCTCTCAACTCCAAACCATTTGAGGCTAGAAATCCCCGCTACATAAAAGAAAGTCAGATCTGTCAGAAAATTTGCCGTGCAAAAGATAAATATAGTTATGTCGCAAAAAAGCACAGGCTAAAACATATGATGGAGTTAAAGTGCACCATGCGCAACAACCCCTTTCCCACCCTAAAAATGAATTCTCGGGTATTGTATGATATAACAGGAAGTGAAGAAAGAAACAAGTAAAGGAAAGGAGGAAGTTCTACGAAAAAATGTTCTCTGAAGTACGTTTTAGGCCCACAGTCAGGTCCTTGAACATTTACAAGAGTTGCAGTTGAAAACTGATTGTTTGAGAGTCAAGTTCCCAAAGCAGCTAAAATTGGAAAAGAAAATGCAGAAAGTAAAAAAGGGAAAAGAAAAAAATATGGCTCCATAGTTTCCTTCTTATTTCTAGATAGGTACAAAGTTAATTTAATGTGTTCAAATTCTAAGATACAGAAGAAAACTATTACAACCCATCAAACCAACAGTTGTTTCTACTTTTCTTCTTATTTCTAGATAGCTACAAAGTTAATTTAATGTGTTCAAATTCTAAGATACAAAAGAAAACTATTTTTACAACCCATCAAACCAACAGTTGTTTCCTACTTTCCTCTCACTTCAGAGTATATTAGAAATCATATTAATGCTGACCACGGAAATATAGAAACTACTGTAAATTCAAAATAGTCCCTCAATAACAAACTTCTTCCAATCTAACCTTAAAACCTCAAGTAATATATGAACCAGAGAGAGAGAGAGAGTTACTTCCTCCTTGGAGAAGCATATAGATTTTTGACTCATAGTGAAGTTGAGGGTGCTTGGTCTTGACGGATTCCTGGAATTGTAATTATAAAACAAATAAGGTTGAGAAGTACAAATATGAAGTACCACAAAGAAACTTGTACCTCTTCAATTCAATAGAAATAAAACAGCAAAAAAGCTTAATAAGCGTAACATAGTTTGCACCCAGCATTTCATATAAAAAACATAGTGAAGAGAGAATGATCCCACATTTTACAAAGTTTGTGCCAAGTGTGTAAGGCTTCACTGCATACCACATGGAACTCATAAAGCCTAAGGAACCATTGCTACTTCATCCAGAACTTCAAAAAAATGTGCTCTATTATATTTGTTCAGGTACTAAAGGATCACAAAAGAAAGAAGAATTCAATCAACAAAATGGTAAGAGTGATCTAAGTCAAACCAAAACCACAGGTGCAAAAATTTAGAAAGTTATATAGATCAACATCAACAAAAAGTATAAAATTTCCTGATGGAACTGAAGAGCATAAGTGTAGTAAAAATTTAAACCAATCATGCAATGTCAATAATTTTCATTCTTCTTGAAGAGGTTTTCAAATCAAAGTAAAATATACACACATGTAATAATATAAAAGGGAAAAACAAACACAAAGCAAGGTTTTGTATCCTATCAGTTGTCGGTCAACCTAGAAGACTCCATTATCTAAAAAAAAAACTTCACAGACAGGTCAAATGCAGAATCTACTAACTACGGAAATTAAAATGCAATCAATACAAAAACAAAATAACCAATAAAAGATCATCAGACAATTATTCATTAAGTACTAAGAGAGAGTAGAATACCAGCTTGATAGCCACTTCCTCTCCAGTTTGTACATTAACACCTAAATGAACAAAGCAAAATCACATTACACAAACTTTTCAGAAATAAATTTACTAACAGACACAATGCTGAAGAATATTATCACTATGAAACACAAAAGATGAAATTAAACTAAACTGGGCATTTACCTAAATAGAGCTCTCCAAAAGACCCACTCCCAATTTTCCTCCCAAGCTTGAACTTTCCACCAATAACATGATCCATGATCTAACAACCTCTCAAAAAAACTTTCCTAGCAACCAAACAGCTTCAACTTTACCAAACAATCAACTCCCAAATTCGATCAAAATCTCGATAAATTAACACTCTACCAAATAAAAAAACATCCAATTCACTTCGATTACATAACTGGACAAACCCAATAAATATCAAAGTCTGTTCATTCAATTAAAGAAACTTGCACCGACAACAGAAATTGCGAATCGATCAACTCAAAAAGTATTTCCGAATTTGAGCACAAGGGTTTTATTCACAATCAAATACCAACTTCTTGAACTAACTACATACAGTGATAATAGGAAAACCCTAAATCTTGAGAATCGAAACCCTAATTCGAAAAGTGGCGGCGAACCTCACTGATCAGAAGAACAGCAATCTGCGTATGATTTGTTCAAATAACAAAATCAAATAAATTTATGAAGATTTTGGGGGGACAAAAAAGAGAATATCCGAGACAGATCAGATCAGAGAGAGAGAGAGAGAGAGAGATGAGTTTGATTGAATTGGAATTAATAACAAAAATTAAAGAAGACAATGTTGGGAAAGATAAACCGAGAGCAGGTGGTGATTTTTGACCTGGGTAATGCCAGGATATCAAATTTTCTAACATGGGTTTGGGTCCATAATTGTCATTTTCTAGCAAGGGGTCGTGTACATAATTGTCATAATGATGCGAGACATTTAGGCCAAGTTTGGGAAGATTTAAAAAAGTCAAAAAGTCAAAAAGTCAAAAAGTCAAAAAGTTAAAAAGTTAATACTATTCATCAAAAGTCAACAATTACGGCTGCACAACTCCCAATTCAAATTTTTCTCTACAAATCAATTTTTATAATTTTTTATTACACATTTTTCAATAAAAAGTCAAAAAGTTAACCCAAACATTCATATTTTTAACCTCAATTTTTTAGTCCAAAAAGACAAAAAATGCACTTTTTTAGTCTTCCCAAACTTGGCCTTAGTTATTTATTTAATAAAATATTTATAATATATAATATTTTTCTTTTGATTTGGTTTGGGAAACTATTTGAATATATATATATATATATATATTAAACAAATTGAATAGTTTAATAAATAAAGAAGACTGAAAATAAAGGGTGGTCGCCCGAGAGGTCTTTTGGTCACTCGAGCCAACCCCCAATGTCTGCAAAAGCACTAGCAGCTCGAAATATATGCTTGAGCGAACTGCTCGAATTCTGGAATTTCCAGAATTGTGTTTAAGCTTCAAACACAACTCCAAGGCTCCAATTTCATGCATGTCTTGTCCAAAAGCTTGAAAACATGTAACTGAACATTAATACCTGATGAAACATATCTCCCATATCCAAAGCTTCATGAATTTGTCAAAATGAAACTCAAAACTTTCATGCATGTATGATCTAGCTTGAATTCTTGTTTAATCATCTTCAAAACATGAAACTAAGTCTCATAACCCCATGATTCATGAATGCATGTGTTACGTAACTCTCAATTTAACATGATTATCATGTTTCATGCTCAAATATGAGGAATTATAACAAATTTACACATGCATGCACATATTGATTCTAATCTCCACATATTCAACTCAATTCTTGCATTTATGTTCATACTCTTTTTGAATTCACATAATTATGGACTTCATGAATTAGAGTTTAAATACTTACCTAGAGCTTTGATTATCACTTGTATTAGTAGATTCTTGAGCTATTCTTCATAATTCTCAATTCCCTTCAGCAAATCTTCAAAGATGATCTCTTTCTCTCTCTCTCTCTCTCTCTCTCTCTCTCTCTCTATATATATATATATATATATCTCTCTCTCTCCAACAATATTACATATTTAAAAAGAAAATTGTACATGAATTTACCACGGAATAAATGTAATAAAATGGTATAAATGTAATTTAAAAAGAAAATTGTACATGAATTTACCACGGAATAAATGTAATAAAATGGTATAAATTTAAAATAATTATAAAAAGAAAAAAGTATAAGAATTAATTGCATAATCTAAAAAAAGAAAAAAGTATAAGAATTAATTGCATAATCTAATATATAAATGGCTTATACTTCCATAATATTACAATTATTTTGTATTATTATCATTTTTTTTGTAATTCTCCCAATTAAAATTATGATGCAATTCATAATTTATCAATTTTAAATCTACACACATAAATCTCAAAAAAATAGTGTGGCTCACATCTAATCAATTTTTCTTTTGAGACAAAATTAAACGTGAATTATAAGTAAGTATTAAGTATTTTAGGAGATAATATTAGGTGGTGCATTCTTCAATTTTATTATGTATGTTGTAAAGTATTCTGTTGATTTTTTATTTTTTTGGTTTCATTTGCCCTCACACCCCCACAAAGGAGCACCTCACGATTCCTACTGATGTATTAATTATTGATGTATTTGAATTTTTTTTTCTATCTCTGACAGTGTGACATGAATGGTCCAGATCATTTTAGAAGTTGTGGGGGTTATGTTTTATGGGGGTCTCTATCATTACTGTTTATCTAATAATATAGAAATGTGACATTGGGTTATTTTGGGAAGTGAATTAAAAGTCACTTCTCAACTTTTAACCCACTTCCCTCTCTTGCAAAAAAACTTAAAAAAGTCAAAAAATAACTTTTAATTATCTTCTCAAAACACCCTATTGATTTTGACGTGTCATATATATGTGATAACTTTTCCCAAGGTAACAATTTTATGTGAATTAGACTATAATTTTTCGAGTAATTATTAAGTAGTGTGAGATTTTCACATAAGATTTTAATTCACAGATTAAATTTGATAATTACTTTTTAGTAATTTTTTGATTTATTTTTTATTTTTATTGATTTTTTTTATAAATTTTTTTAAAAAACATTTTACTTTTAGGTTCTAATAGGGAGTTTTTTTGATAAATTCTCTTTCTAAGAATTTTATTCCATTTAACCCATATTCTTTTTAACTATTCCATTAGATTCTATTTGAGACAAGAAGACTAAAACATCATTTATTAATGTTGATATTTAATATTGATTGTCATTATGTTTTGGTAGTTCTCATGCATTAGGATGTTGACTGTCATTATATTCATATTAATTTGAAATGAATTTTTGCCATTGTGTTGTCAATTACATGATGTGAATATTCACATCACGTAATTGAAATGAATATTCACATTAATTTGAAATGAATTTTTATCATTGTGTTGTTAATTACATGATGTGAATATTCATATTTAAAATACGAATGTGAACGTTCACATCACTACATTAAATGAGAAAGAATGTTCACGTGTTGTGAATAAGAATGTGCTGTCAATTAAAAATATAATGAACGTTATTTTTAATGTTATCAATTAAAAATAAGAAGGCTCACATGTTGTGAACGTTCACATCACTATATTAGATGAGAGAGAATTTTTCGAAAAAGTATTGTGAACGTTCACATCAGATGAGAGAGAGAATGTTAACATTATTTTTAATGTATTGTCAATTAAAAATATACGGTGGTGCTACATGCACCAATTAGTGTACCAACATTAGTTATGACATTATTATTGACTTCACTCATTAATCACATTACAAATACCAAAAATCTCTTAAATTATACCACATCATCAATTGGTATACTAATATACTAATTAGTGCATATAGCACTATTCAAAAATATATTCACATCAGATGAGAGAAAATGTTCACATTATTTTTAACGTGTTGTTAATTAAAAATATATTCATATTATATAATTATATAAAATAATAAAATCAATGTTATTTAATTTGGGTATAAAATTTCTCATGCCTTAGTCCTTTCCCTTTTCTCTCCTCCCCCAACATTAAATATCAATATTAAATATAAGGGCACAAGAGTCTAAGAAAATAGTGTAAATCAAGAAAAAAAAATTTTATGGAATAAAAGTATAAATACATGGGACTAAGTGAGTTAAAAAATTCAATCATAAACTTTTTAAATTAAAACACTTCTAAATAAAATTTATCAATAAAAATCTCGTTCTAATATGGTAGACCAATTTGAAAAGCAATTAAAAAAAAATTAAATTATTTATTTATTTATTTATTTTTTTCGGGGGGAGGGGTTTTGTTTTTAGTTGACATTTTTTTTAAAAAAAAAAAATCAATATAAATTTACTTCTTAACTTTTTTTTTGGGACCATTTGAAAACAAGGGTTAAAAGTTCAAAATTAATTTTTAATTTATTTTTTATCACATCACCTTACATAAAATAGTAAAAAAAAAAAGTTAAAAAGCAAACTTTTAATCATTTTCTTAAAACACCTCTCTAATTAGTTATTGCCAAACAAAACTTAAATAATTAGGAATAACTATTTTTTTTTATAATAAATTTGAGTCAACAAATTCAGATTTACTAAACTCCAGATATATGAGTCAACAAATTCCATTGCTAATCATATATATATATATATATATATTATATGATGAAAAATATTAGACATCTTAAATGTTTTATCAAATATTATATTAAAAAGTAGTAATGTCCTTAACATTACTCATATATTATTAAAAGTAGTGTTTTTTTCTTACTCAAGTGGCAAAATCTAAAAGTTTACTTTTTTTTTTTTTAAATCCACATTAGCATGCATTTTTCATTTATATATAAACTTATACACAAACTCAATTTCAATTATAATAACCAATTTTATATGGATTCTATTTGAGAAATATTTATTTTTCATATATATATATATATATAATTATAATTCAATTATTATGATATTTGAAAAAAATTATCTCGATATCCCACATCGAAAAAAAAATAAAAAAGTTGAGTTGTTTCACTTATCTAAAATGAACTTTATATTTCTATTTGATATTATAGTATTATGCATGTTTCAGGTCAAGATAGTTCAAATTTTAAAATTAAAATAACATTTAAAAGTTTTAATTGATTAATTTTTGTATAAGTTGATTGGTCTTTTGACCTAGCCGATTAGGCTGAACGATTTTCGGTTTAACTAATCCGCTGGTTTAACCACGATTGAGAGGGAGATTTATGAGCCGGAAGTGGGCCGCGATAAAAGCCGTGCAAGTTGAAGGCCCAAGGGCGTGTTGGGCCGAGATAGCTTAGGATTTGCCCGGAGTTGGGGCTGCTCGGCCCGTGGCCAGGTCAAGATAGTTCAAATTTTAAAATTAAAATAACATTTAAAAGTTTTAATTGATTAATTTTTGTATAAGTTGATTGGTCTTTTGACCTAGCCGATTAGGCTGAACCATTTTCGGTTTAACTGATCCGCTGGTTTAACCACGATTGAGAGGGAGATTTATGAGCCGGAAGTGGGCCGCAATAAAAGCCGTGCAAGTTGAAGGCCCAAGGATGTGTTGGGCCGAGATAGCTGAGGATTTGCCCGGAGTTGGGGCTGCTCGGCCCGTCGCCGAACTACTTGCACCGGTGGTGACCGTACAGCTTGAGTTGCTCGGCCAGAAGGCATACACCTTTGGCTCGGCAGTGAAGCTCGTGCCCAAAGCTCGGCCGGAAAGCCTTTGGTTAATCGGCGTAACCTTTCTGGAGCTCGACTTCGCCGGAATGTAGTCGAGCACGATAGGGACGGAGCTCGGCTATTGCTACACT